GCTCGGGAAAGGCCCGCATGGGCTGCACGGAGGCGCCACAGGGCGGGTGAGGGGCCGCTTTTCCCCGGGCTGCTTCCCTGCCCGCGGTCCTCCCCCGCCCTTACCCGAGCTTCCCGCACTGGGGCAGCCACATGGTCCCAGGCCAGAAGCCCCTACTGGGGCTTCCGGCTGTTGGGGCAGGGCCAGGTGGGCCCTGCTGTTGCAGGAGCTTGCCGGGCTTCCCCTGGGTCCTACTGCCCCTGGTTTCTGTCATTTTTTAAAAAGGAATCAAGGACAGATCAATATTCATTTTCTAAATTTTTTAGGGGCCCCGCGGGCAGGATAGAATGGCCTCATGGACTGGATCCGGCCCACGGGCTGTATTTTGCCTACCCCTGGCCTAGTTAGACAACATCCTCAAGTATCACTTTAACACCTCAAATATCTACCTCTTTGCCCATAACCCTTCTCATTCTGTTAATTTTGCATCTCATCCTTGACATTCTGCAACTTTCTGAAAACTAAATTCCTAATATTATTTCCAGCATCCTCTCCATGTCTTTTTAAATATCCAGCTACCCCACTAATATGTCTCTGACTCTCAACCTCTACATTACTTTCTCTTCCTCAAGTCCCTGGCTGTCAACACACCTAATCTTCTTCTATTGTCTCCCTTAACAATTGCCTCCTTTACTCATCTTGCCATCAAAAAATATCTGGTTTCATGACTTCATTCCATCTCATTTCAACTTTTGCCTCTCATTCTTTGCCTCTCTTTTCACCTATTCAGCTTGTCAAGAACACTACTGCAAGAGTCATTTTCTTCTTCCACAGCTTCAGCTACTTCAGTGCTACATCCCTCCCTCAAGTTTCCCTCACAAGGTATTTCTATATCAGCTTTGCATTCATTCACTCACAGTTTCTTTCTTCCTATACAGTCCTGGCTTATCCATTTGAAAACTTGGTTCTGACCCTGCTCTTGCATCCAAAACTTTTGCTATTGAAAGTAGCAAAACAACCACACAAAATAAGAAAATGCATTGAACTGACAATGCTTCTCTCCTTTTGTGTTTTTGATCCTCAATTTGTCTAATTTATATCATGAGAGACAAGGACATTGCTTTTATGCACATTTATAAATCACAAATGAGCACCAATGACAGTAAGTGGACAGTGACAATAAAAGTGCCACTGCATTGCCAATGCATCTCCAATTAAAAGTTAAACAGAATGCAGTAAAGTAAATCTAACAGGCCAAATACCACTATTTGGAAAAAAACCCCACAAAAACAAAAGGAAAGACTCATCTGAATCATAAACATAAAACTTATGGGGGAAAGAGATGTGAGGGAAAAAAAAAAAGTCAACCAACCAATTTCAAAAGACAGAATCTTTCAACTTCCCCCAAACTAATTTTTAATCTACAGAAAAGAGACGCACAAATCTCTTCAGAAAAGTGCTAGTAGAAAGCCAATATTCTAGCCAAAAATCTTGAGTTGCTATCTTCTAAAGAACTGGTATAGCATAGGTGGTACAATAGTAGTTACTATTTACATAGCTCTTGAAAGCTAACATGTTGAACATTAACGCCTATGCAGGGGGTCGGACTCGATGATCTATTGAGGTCCCTTCCGACCCTAACATCTATGAACCTATGAACAATAACCGTGTGTTCACACGTTACCCAAAATGGTTTTGCAAAAATTAGTGGCTCTCTTTCAATGAAAAGTGGCTCATATGCAAATTTAAGGATATGTAAGGAACCATGTATATACTACAAAAAGCAGCAGTTAAGGATTGGTTTAGCTCATCTTTTTGAGCTAAACAAATCATTTTTAAGTTATGAAACTAACTGGGTACATTTAAAATTTTTTAAAGTAACAAACTGCACCCAAGTCTGAGCATTCTTTAAAACAGTCACAGCTGGTACAATCCAGTGGTTTGTGGAAAAAGAAAAGACACTTAAAATTAGAATTAAGGTTAAATTCAGGTCTCCTCTACACATTACAGGTATCCAGCAACTGACTGGTTAATTGTGCAATCACCTAGAGACCAGCTACCATGCAAAGAGCTATCACACAATAAAAAGCTCTAACCAGCTATAAAGTCAGACCTTGAAAATCTGTATTAACTTTATAGCTGGTTGTTATCAAGCTTTACTTTGCACGTGTAGCAGGCTCTGCCCTGCGGCTGGGAGCCCCATTAGCAGAGGTCTCCCAGCCACTGGGGTGCCCCTTGCCCAGGCAGGGTTTGCTCAGCCCCTGCAGCTGTGGACTCTGGGACCCAGAGCCCAACAGCTGCAGACACTGGGTCCCTGCAGCATGACCCCTGGCAAACCCCCAGGGCCAAAGGATCACTGCAGGGGCGATCCCCTCCACCCCAGGGCTGCAGAAAACCCCTAGAACCAAAGGACTGCCACACCTGGGAGCCCCTCAACTGGGGTGTGTGGGGCTCCAAGCCATGGAAGCTTGCTTTAAACTTTTTCTTACATTAGGGCTTTACCCAGCTCCCACTATTAGTCACCCAGCACTCAAGTGGTGTTGGACTGGGCCCACTGAGGAGAATGCAATGTAGATGTAATCTCAGTGTGTTTGGAAGAATTTCAGAGCCCTTTCCACAAATCAGTGTACACATAACAAACCCAAGGTCAAGTTTACAATACCATTTAATGTAAAAACTACAAGAACCAAGTACAATTACTGCTGATCACCCTTTCACTACCAGCCTGAATTTGCTGAACACCGCTTTATATCCCAGTACTTGCAGGACATTAAAAGCCTCTTAAACAAATATTCCACAGGGATAATTAATTGTTAAATGAGCTCCATTCCAGTTGCCAAAGCAAACACATAAGGGGGAATAAAACAAGACCTCTGCAGACTAATAAAGCAGAAATGCTCTAACTAAACCATACTTCATGTATGCTCCAGCCACACACAGGCCTTCTTTTAGTTAGAAAACAGTAATAAAAAAAGAAGAGAATTAAAGCATTGATAAGAATTTCTATTTCAAAAGTGTGTGCAATGAATATTAACTCTTTGCTACTGGTTTCTATTGAAGCCTGGTGTGCTTTAAAGCTGCCAACACTTCATCTGCGATATCAGGACTGTGCTTTATCAATCTCACTTAGCCTAGCAAACAGCTAGGAAATTATTAAACCTCTGGGACCTTGGGAAAGGGCAGGGGTGGGGAGAAGAAGTGTTCTGTGACCCTTATCTGACACATGTTGTTGGTTCTCCCTACTGGTGGCCAAGAAAAGGGATTACAGGTAATATAAAGCTAAATGTGGTTCCCTAACATTACTTGTCCATGTAAGCATCCCTGTGGCATCTACAGTCACTGCTACATGATCAGGAATGGAGGGGATATGATCTTCATCAGTGGGGGCCAACCTTTTTGGCAGCTGCCACAAATTAGCTTTGCATCATCCCTAAATGCCACTCTGATCCCCTTTCCCTGCCCAATCTACTGCTCTGCTCCCTGCCTTCTCTGCCACTGCCTGTGCCCTCCCCAGTCTGTCATATGCCATGCACAGAGGCTGCCTGTCCCACATGTACTGCAGACTGGCCACCCCTTATCTACATGTTCCTCTTTCCATTTATACATGGTGCTTGCTAGCTATCAGTTGACAACCAATTCTCCAAAAACCCCAAGACACTAGTATTGCTGCCAAGAAGCACCACTTTTAAACACTGAGTACTGAGACTATTTCAAGTAGTTATTTGGGACACTAAACCCTCTCCCTTGCCTACAAAATGTTGGCACGTGTTATGTTTTCACACTTAAATATATTTGTCCACGTCAGATGGGTCTTTCAAGCCCTCAACACTTTTGAAGGCTATTACTTAATAAGGCAGTCCTGGGGGGGCGCGGTTTGTCACCTAAACCAACTCATCTCTCATTCCAGAGCTCCTGGGAAAGAAAAGGATCTGCTGTTTCTTTGGGGGTTTCTCTCCCCTATTCCTTTGCTTTTATGCTCCCATAAAAGCAACCAAGAGCAGTCTGCACTCCATGGTCTTCAGAAACACCAACTATGGATGTCCCAGTTTTGTACGTTCAACACAAGTCACTTGGGCCTCAATTTTAGAAGCACTTGGTACTGGATTTAAGTCTGTCAAACACACCAGTGCTTGGGACCTCCAGCAAACTCTCCCCCTGCTTCACACAACACAGGCCCCAACCTGGACATCCCAAACTAAATTAAAAAATATCCCAAACTGAATTAAAAAAATATCCCAAACTGAATTAAAAAAATATAAAAAATATAAATGAACAAAATCTCAGACCCTTGGCCACGTAAGAGCTGCCTGCTCTGATGGAGACAAACAGCTGGAATGAGGAGCTGCTAAACAGGCCCAGAACTTGCAGGTAACCAGGAGGAGGAAGTTGTGGCTGAGGGAATCCCAAAACAAACCCTGTAGACTGGACAGGACTGTATTTGTTTTCTGTCTGGAGGGCTCATTCCCAGAAAACACCTGCTAAGAAATCCATGGTCCAGCTTGGAAAGATGGATGTGCCACAGGGGTTCTGTTGGGGCACATCCGGGTGAATCTGCCAGGGGGGTCCATCCAGGTGGACCGGGGGAGATCTGCTGTGGTGGGCCCCATCCGGGTGAAGCCAAGAGATCCGCTGCAGGGGTCCCCATCCAGAGGGATCCACTGTGGGCATTCCATCCTGGTGGACCTGGGGATCCACTGTGGGGGTCCCATTCAGGAGGATCCTCTATGGGGAATCCCACTGGGGATCCACTGTGTGGGGTCCTATCTGGGTGGATGCACTGCGAGGCCGTGTAAAAGGCCCCCAAAGCCCCGCCAGGGGCTAGGGTCGAGCTGAGAGGCACCAGAGAGGGCGCAGCGGGCTGTGCTGCAGCCAAGCGTCCAGGAGCAGCCCCGAGCTCGGGTGTCACGGGCCGGGCAGGGAGGGCCAGGGCCAGGGCCAGGGTCACTCCCAGCGCCGCGGCGCGCCGACGCAAGGCGTAGCAGCCGCGCACCCCGGCTCTGGCAGGGCCGCCCGGCTCGTACCTGTGCGGCGCTGCATGTTGTCGCGGAGCAGGTCCCCGCTGGAGAGATGCTTGAGGGCGAAGTGCTTGACTATTCGGGACGACACAGTGCCCTTGCCGGAGCCCGGCGGGCCCATGATGACGGCCCGCAGCAGCCGCGCCCGCACCCCCATGCCGTTCAGCGCCGGCCGGAGCTGCCACGGCCGTAGGCGGCGGGCGCTGGCATGGCCTGGAAGTACAACAGCGCCGCCCCGCCCCTGCCCGCCCCGGCCCGTCTCCCGCTTTCAGGCAGGGCCGGGTTCGGGCGCAGCCAAGCGAGGCACGTGCCCAGGGCACCAAGTGAAGAAGGGGCGCGAGAGTGCTCATTTTACACACTATAATTATTGAGTGAAAACATAACTAAATATGCACTACTAAGTAGGGACCAACGAGTTTGTTTGCCTAGGGCCCACTAAAGAGTTAATCCAGCCCTGCTTTCAGGCCCTAAATCTGCAGCCCCTTGGCTCTTTTTTTTGAGCCGGGAGGGTCTATTTTTTACGCTGTGGTAATTCCCTCGCGCTTCACCCTTCTGAGGCGCAATATATGTGATGTGTGGCAGGAAACTTGGCTTGGGTGAAGCACGGCCAGCCGTCACGGCACCACTCATTGGGCCTCGGGCATCTGGTTGCCTCCTCGCAGGGCTGGCGAGCGGGACAATCCACTGCAGCCAGCCTCTGCAGGGACCCCCCTGGGCAGCCTGCAAAGACCTCTGCACAGTCTGGCTGGAGAGGGAGAGCAGGGCTTTCCCCGCCCAGCCAGACCTGCAGGGAAGCATTTTTCCCTTCAGCCTTTTCATGTGCCCCATGGATTGTGGGCTTGGGCCCATCAAGATAAAACGCTGCCTCCTTTAGTAGGGAGGCCACTGGCAGAGCTGTCTCCAGGGTATGGCAAATAGGGGTGACCGCCCTGGGCCCTGCACTATGGGGGGCCCCCTCGGAGCCGCTGCCTCTGCCTCTCCCGCGGGGCCCGCCTGGAGCTGGTGGCTCAGCCTGCACTGCAGAAGAAGACCCCGCCTTTGTGGGGGTACCACAGTCCCATGCAGTGTTAAGGGGCCCCTGCACAGGCTGATTTGCCCCAGGCCCTGCATCCCCCTAGGGTCAGCTCTGGTCCCTGGGAACACATCGGCTGCTTTCAGGGGGCAACTAAAGAGAAAAGAGGGACATGAGTGAGGTCACAGGTTTAAAACCAGTGCAGCAAGGGGAGATATGGAGCAGAGTACATCCAACAGTGTGTGCTGGTCCTCAAATGTGTCCAAGGAGCCAGTGGACACTGCACAGTGAAACTCTGTCTGGAGATGTGAACGGATCAGGGACAGGAAAACGGCCCTGCAGTCCTCCTTTCCAGTCAGGTATATCCCGAGTCTGGCTAGGGCAAGGAGGAGGTTGGTCAGGAGGTTCCAGGACCTCAGCCTGGCAGGAGACAGGGGTCTGATTGAGCAGGGAAAGTGCCACAGAGGTAAAGAAGTCTCCCACAATGGAGTGGCAAAGTCTATGACCATTTGTTGTGTCACTGATTTTCCTTTGATATGCATCATTGTCTATTTGCTCAGCATTTGCGTCCTCATAAAAAAAATTATGGCGGCACATATGAGACATGGGGGAACGTCTGTTTCCATAGGCAACAGGTTTAATTGGCATCAGAGCACTTTGGACCTCATCAGATCCAAACCTTACAGACAACTAAGCTTGATTCCCCATATCAAGTTCCTGTGAATTATCCAAATTAACACTTTGCCTCCTAATTCAACTTACTTGCTATTTAAAGGGCAGTGTAAAGTGCTGGTCTGCATGTATTTTGGTGCAAGTCATATCCCTAATCAGGACTACATTAAACTGTTTTTAGCCTGGCAAGATGTGCCCCAGAGGCCTTGGTACAGGCCCTCCCTCCCCACTAAGTGCTGCCCCGTCCCCTGGGATGACCCTGGGACCAAAAGGGGTCAAGTGGAAAGAGGAGGAGGAAAGGCTGGAGCAAATAGTACTGCTTCTGAGATGCTCTGCCTAGTTCATCTATGTGCACCCATCACATCAAAGCGGAACAGTCCCTTTTAACAGGCTGGGCCCTTTAGGTCTTCCCTGTGATGCTTTTCTATCCTACCAAGAGTGATGGGTGGGCAAGTAATAAAGAGAAGGGAAAGGAGTCAGACAGGAAGGAGGGAGGCAGAGAAGGAAAGCAAGAGTCTGGCAGTATAAGACCAGGGAGGGCTGCAGAAATGTCTTCCCACAATCAGAAATCAATGGCTTGGTTCAGAAGGTTTTTCTCCACTCATCAGGACACTTGCCCATGCTTTTTGCATATAACACACCCCTATATATAGGACACACCATGATTTTGAAAGGAAGCCTAAAAAAATTGAGGTGAGTGAATGGCAGCAACTAGGGAGCAAAGCTTGCTCCCAAGGCTGCTGTGAGCCCTGCATACCAGTAGGGCCCACAAACCAACCCAGCACACTAGGTTCAGGCCTATGCACCAAGTCCAACCCAGCAAGCTGGTTCTGGACCTGCATCCCAGGTTGGACCCAGTGCACTGAGTCCAGGATCTCATGCTGGATCTGTAGCCATACACTGACTCCAAAGCCATGTTCCAGGTCGGACCCTGTGTGCTGCCTCCAGGGATGTGTGCTGAGCCTGGGACTGCGCAGTGGCTCTGGAGCCACATCAAGTCTGACCCCTTGTGCTGCCTCCAAGGCCATGCACCAAGCCTGGGACCATGCACTGAGTCTGGATCAATCCCAGCATGTGGCTCTTGAACAAGGGTGAGCAATTATTTTGGGTGGAGGGCTGCTTACTGAGTTTTGGCAAGCCATCGAGAGTTGCATGATAGGCAGCCCAGAGCACATTAATATTAATTTTCTAAATTTTTTAGAAATTTTAGAAAATTTAGAAAAATTTTTAGAGGATAGAATGGCTTGGCGAGCTGCATCTGGCCCACGGGCCACGTTTTGCCCACCCCTGCTCTAGAGCCAGGCTTAGTGTGCAACCCCAAAGCCAGTACACAGGATCAGACCCAGACCATGACTCTGGAGCCAGCGTGTGGCTTAAGATCCAGCATGTGGTCCTGTACTCAGTGCACTGGGTCCAACCCAGCACATGGCTCCAGAGCCTTCCTGTGAGGTCACACCTGGTATGCCAGATCCAAGGTTATGTGTTGGGTTGGACCTGGCATGCCAAATAGGGCCACATATCAACCCTGCATGCTTACCTAATCACATAGTTAGGGAGAGGAGCTCCTCACAGGTCCAGAAATTTGGTGGCAGAGGGCAGGAACAGTGGCAGAATTAATTGCTGGACTCCCAGAGCCACAGTAATTAATGCTGCCCCATGCCCACCAAATTTCTGGCCCCATGGTGATCCCTTTTCCTTGCATATAATGTGCACCCAATTTTCCCTAGCTGGTTTTGTGGGAAAAGTATGGGTTATATGTGAGAAAATATGATACCTGGTTCTGAGCCAGAGGTGACAGAATACAGATGGAGATTTCTGTATAAGTCTAGGAATCTCTGTGACACTCCCACCTCTGCTCCAGTTTTCCATGGAAGGATCTGGCTGGAACATAGGTATATTTGGCAATATGGATGCTTAGGTGCAAACATTATTCTATTAACCAAATCCATTTTGCCAGTAGAGACAAAGCCAGCAGTGACATGGAATAGTTGATTTGCTGCAAGACAGACAGTTTATGTTCTGAGAGAATAACTTTATGCAAGTTATTTTGGCAAGTGAATGTTCTAGCAAACAGATAAATTAAAAGAAATATTTCAAGACAAATAAAGGGAAATGCATCAGTGGAGAAACTGAAATATTCAAGTCAGCCATCAGGTTTTATTTGGTATCATATTAGTGACGAATAACACTATATGCTACTCTAGTAAAGGTTATGTTTTCAGAGATAGCCCTGATCTTTGTGATGAAGATGGGTATTTATACATACATTTGTGCTAGATTGCACATTGATATTTTCACCAAGTGATGCTGAAGGGCATAACACTTGCTGAATTTCTTAAGGGCTTGTCCATACTGGGGGTTAGCCCTAATGACAGCCATCAATGGTTCATAACCAGTGTTGAAACTAGAAGGGCAACTGTGGAGATAAGTGTATACAGAAAGTGTTGTTGAATGCGAAGTAAAATACACTGAAATGTATTTTCCCTCCTCTAATCTCTTATTTATAGTAATTTTAGATATTACTTGCAGCAAGAATAGGAAAAGCATACTCCAACAGAAATGCAATGTTTAAATGAGTGATGTCTCTTTAAACATTTGTGCATGGACATATGTTTACAGGAAATTACTGTTTATTTGGAGGTACATTGCAATTAAGTGTTTTTGAACTCTTTCAATCAGATTGTAATGGGATGCGATTGATGTTGTAATTATTTTGTCTGTCTGTTTTTCTTGTGTCCTTTGTGTTCAGTGTTTGTGAAGTTATAAAGGAAAACTCAGGACCCAGAATTCATAAAACGGAAGAGGGAAGGTTTGTGAATAAAAGTATACAGTATAAAACAATAGAGAACATTTCAAGAAACAGCTGAGCCAACATTAAAACAGAGACCAAAGAACTGTCTACTATCACAAGACAGAGTTAATCATATATGAAAAACAAACAATTAGGAGAACCCTAGCAACTCCCAACTCAAGCACTACTGTAATAGGCAGAAGAATAATAAGAGGAGCCAGTGTACCTATTTTGTCAGTAGCATGCAAGTCCTTAGGAAAATCCAAAAGAAAATAAGCTTTTGAAATGGGAAGACAGCAGTTATTTTCACCAGTTTAAATAAGATTTGGTCATTGAGACATCTGCAGCTTAAAGACCAAACTCTAAATGTTCAAGTGTTATTTAACAAATGGATATGAAAGCTGGAATTCCATCAAAGGTACTGAAAGATGTTTAATACCTCAGAAGTGAATGCCTTACAAAAATACTAAATATTAAATTACATTGATTTATAACAAAAGCTATGATATATCAATCAGTTCAATAATCCTTTATCTCCATAGTTATCCAAAAAAGTACATGGAAATATGTGGGACATATATGAAGAATAAAGCTTATTATCACCCTGGCAAACATACTGTTTGACAGATGAAGGAATTCATGCAATGAAAGAAGGGAAAGAATCCCTCTATCTATCAGACAGCACTTAACAGAGAGGGCAATTTATGGGGCTTACCAAAGAGAATATGCATAGAGAATAGAAAGAGACAATGTTCATTCCCTCCCTTCATTGTCACTGT